GCCTAGTTAGTAGGGCTTTACCCGGTGTCTCTACCTTACACACACACACACACACTCTCTCTCTCTCCTGTCTTGCTGTTTCTTCTCTTATTATGTGCTCAGTCAATAGCAAGTGATGACTGATGATACATTGAGTGTGTGTGTGTGTGTGTGTGAGTGTGTGTGTGTGCGTTCAATTATGCATCTTCATTCTGGAATTTAGTGTCCTTTTTAATGTAAAAATTTACATTTTGTTTTTTAACACTTTAGTATAGGGACCAATTCTCACTATTAACTAGTGTCTTATTAGACTATGACTATTATTAACATATTGGCTGTTTATTAGTATTTAAGCACATATTCTGCATGACCATATTCTACATCCCTAATCCCACCCAATGCCTAAACTTAACAACTACCTTAACTATTAATTATTAAGTTTGAGGCAAAGGTCGTAGTTAATGGTTTGTTAATAGCGAGAATTGAACCTTAAAATAAAGCGTGACCTTAAATGTATTTAATTTGAGTTTTTTTCCCCTTCTGTCTGATTTGTAGTGAATAGTCTTGTCTTTATATTAATGGTATTTTTAAGTGTTGTTATAATTTTGAACTTTGTACATTCTGATAACTCTAGCCTTTTATCTTATGATTTTAATAATTGGCTGACTGTTTATTGTCCCTTATATGTACACACTACTGTTCAAATATTTGGGGTCATATATATATATATATATAAGAAATTATTACATTGAAACCTTAAATTAAATTGAAGTAGCAGTAAAAATTCTATTCTAAATAACTAAAATTCTATTTTAAATAACTTTGTTCATCAAAGAATCCTGAAATATTTTTTACAGCAATATTGAGCAGCACAAATTTTTCAACATTGATAATATAATAAAACATTAATAAGAAATGTTTGTTGAGCAGCAAATCAGCATATTAGAATGATTTCCGAAGGATCATGTGACACTGAAGACTGGAGTAATGATGCTGAAAATTCAGCTTTGATCACAGAAATACTTTTAAAAAATATATTCAAATAGAAAACCGTTGTTTAAAATTGTAATAATATTCCACAAATATCACTGTGGTTTACAAATCAAAATTACTTGTAGCGCTTTTCACAGTGCACACAGGATCAAAGCAGCTTTACAGAAAGTCATATTGTTGTCTGTAGTGCCTTAATGCTTCAACAGAGAGCACTTTTAGGGCATGATGGGATACATAACGATTCTCTAAATTTAGATCTAGCTATGTTGTATTTATTTTGTGCATGAAAATCCAATTATATGCCTCTTTTCACAGTGAATTGAATCTTGCTAACAAGCACTCCTTTCGTTTGTTCATTAGAGTGTAAAGCAGCCAGTCCAGAGCATGTGAAAGCAGAACCTGGAGAGCAGCAAGCAGAAGAGAGCCTCTTAGAGGAGAAGAAGCCAGGAGACCCAGATCCCCTCACCAGCCTCCCTGACAAATCAGACGGCGAGCACGATGTGTCCGCCATGGAAGTGGAGTAGAGTGAGAGAGGGTTTGTCAATATGAACCTGTCTGTTCATCTTGTGTGTGTGTGTGTGTGTGTGTGTGTGTGTATGTATGTATGTGTGTGGGTTTGATTTTCATATTCTTTACCTTTAGTTTATTTGTTTCCTTTTAATTTCTACACATTACAATTGCAGTGTTATTTCAAAGTTAAGTAGAAATGAAAAGTTTAGTGGTCAAAGGGATTTTTGTGAGGGTTTTTTTTTTTTTAAATCTGCAATAATTAGTTAAATTGCTGAGTTTAATAGTCAAGCATTATAGTGTCTTTGTTTACAATAGAACCTGTATGTAAAAGCTAAACTTTGCAGAAGTTTCAGCACATAACTCTTCTCTTATTCTCTTAGTTGGAAAGAAAAGCAGCTATTCACATGTATTTCATTCTCCATGTAAGCACTGTTTTGTGACTGGATGTATTTAATGTTCTTATTTACAATATGTAATAATGCAAAAATGTCCCGTTCAAAAGTATATTTATACTATTTATAGTTATTAATATCCTCTCAGTGCCTGTTTTTGAAGTGTAGCATACATTAGGTGCTTTGCAGCGAGAGATTGCTCCCATGTTTACATGTCTGTTCAGGTACCACCATAGGAATGTCTGGCTATTTATTATGGCATAAAAACAGCCCTTCAGTGTTCTCAGCCTTATGTGCCTTTATGTTCGACCTGCTTCAAGATTGAAGGAAAGCAGATGAATGATCTAATAGCATAGCATAATGTGCGAAAATACAGTGCTGTTTTTATTTTGTCTACAAGGATTAATATAAGAAATAAAGTTTTTAAAACAATATCCTGATGTTTTGAGATGCAGAGTTCTTTAAGGCAGAGAATTCCGTTTGAATTTTATTTTCATTTTTATGCATTTATTTAATGCAGTATCACACAAGCTTTCAGGTATTAATGCCATTGTAGGCCGTTTTGGGACCCATGCATTCTGCACTGACCCGTCCCATGTAAAATAAAACCACATTTTCTGTTCCACTGATATAACTGATCTTAAAAATGTCAGCTTCTTTTCGTTTTAAAAATCTGTTATTTTCTGGGCTTGAGAGTGAAGGTGTCATGGTTCTGCAGGTAGAGATGTGTAGTTATTGGTCGTAGCTAGTGTTATTTGTGTTGAGAGATTGCCGGTCAGTGGATATGCCACTTGAATGGTTAAGTGACCCTGCTCAAGTGAGCGTGAGAGAGCATCTGTGTGCTCGGCCGAAATAGGCTGTTAGGGCTGTTAGCGGCCTGCGGCATCGCCCTAACCGCTCTGACACGGAGAGACATCGAGAAGAATGCGTTAAAACACAGTCCATTTTCATTAGGGAGCCTATTTTAGCTTGTGATCATTTTATTTTAGCTCATTGATCATTTCAGACAGTATTAGATAATGGGAGTGACACACAAGCCCAACTGAGCTTGATTACTTGACCCTCTTCATTTGCAACAAGAGCGCTATCTCTGCCCCTTGACACGCGCTCGCTCGCTCGCTCTCAGGTCAGTCTCTCACATTTGTCTTTGGGATTTTATAATGCATGTTTACAGATACGTGACCCCCTGAGCACAGCAATGCATCACTGTCAGTGGGACAGTGGCACCTGAATCCCATACACTGCGCCTCTCTCTGACCTCTGACAGCACCCTGGCGCTCCAGAAAAAATAACCCGTCGATAGGACATTTGAACCTTTCCCAGCAAATATGATGTAGATCAAGTGTTGGTGAATTACTCGTGAGGTGGGCGCTCAGGAGCCCAGCCCATTTCATTTCGGAGTCAAACTCCTCACTACATCATGCTGCGAGAGGTGACATTTATTTTCTTTGACGTCTTTGGTAGTGCACTGTCAGTAAAATCATTTTGTGTGTTTTGAGTTCCCATCCATTTAAAGAGTTTGCGAGCTCTGCGCTCAAAGTCGCTTTTTCATGTTTGTGGCACAATCGCTTTTATTTTTTTTATTTACTGCACTTTGCTATTCTTTTAGTTTTTTTACCTACAATGCTGGGTATAACTGATTACATGTAATCTAGATTATGTAATCAGATTCCAAAAATGAAGTACTTAAAATGCTCATACTCCGATTACAGTTGCTTTTTATGGATTATGTGATTACATATTGTTCAAACAATGGCAGTGAAGTATTTATAATTTATTAATTCTCCGTAATTCTTCTTTTTCTCTTTTAAATTGTCCTTTCTAAAAAAAAATCCTTCTGTTATACCATTCAGCTTTGACTATATTCACAAATGTCGTAAAGTAAGTAAATTTGCAAACCATGCTTCTGAATATGGGTGAAAAAAAAGCACCACGCGAGCAATTACACTATGTATGAAACAATACATCTGCAAGTTACTAAACACTGATGTAGCTGTGAAGCACTATGTCTTCATCATTATCCAGTGACCTTCAGTCACTGTTGGTTCTGGAAGTCTGGACAAAAATATTTCAAACCTGGAAGACTTTTGTCGCGTAATGTCATTGTTATTTTCTGGTTTATTAATGTTTGTTCATATAATGCAGGGACTCCCAAACATTTTTGTCAGCCAAATCCCTTTGACATGAAATATTTACTTGAAATATCTCTGAGGAAGTTCATATCTCAAATAATTTAACATCACAATTCGCATGTTAGTGGTCACATTGACATGCAGGTAAATACATAATGTATATTTTATTTAGTGTTCTAGTGTTAAGATTAGATTTTTAAGATTTAAAGAACTCACAAACCCACTGCAGTTCTTACATTAAGTTCATTTTATGTATTAATGCATTTTATGATGTTAATATAGAAAAATGGAATTAATTTTTTTAATCAATATGGTACATTCAATGGTAAATTTAAAATGAGTTTGATTAAAAAAAGTAATCTCAAATGTAGTCAGATTACATTACCTAAAATGAGTAACCTAAATTATGTTACTAAATACAGTTTTTACCATGTAATCTGTAATCAGTAACGGACTGCAATCTGTAAGTAATCTACCCTAGTGGCTAATGAATCAGAAGTCTCGCACATTCACGGAAAATACCTTACTTCTATTTTAGTCCACTCTATTTTCATATGGGGCCTACTTTATACCACAGCTGGCAGATGTTACATAGAAAATCCCTATATTGGTGGGGAGAAAAGATAGTGAAGGATGCATATTTTCTGTTCTCCTTTATACAGCCCATTTGTGTCCACACAGGAAGGAGATTCCATCTGCTTTCTGCTATCAGTGACCTACTAATTGATTTTCAAGGATGACAAACGAGCCACTGGTTTGCTGAGCAGAGGTAAATCTGACCCGCTCCTGTCGGGCCAAACCAGCATGCACAGACTCTCAGAGCACTACCCTCTCTCAAACTCAAACTGCACGTCTCTCGACTCAGATTTATACTGATCTTTTATTTATTCCCTGAAAATATGGCAGATAAGAAACATAAGTGTTCTTGATATTGTGTTTTGTCATATCCAGCAGCCAAAGATTGAAATCCTAAGAAACAATTTTCTGCTGAAATGAAAGCGCTTGGCCTTGTGAACCCTGGAGGAAAGTAACCCCGCTGTTCCAGGCAGAATATATATAACAGAAGAACTGAATAAGTTAAATAGACAAGAGCACGAGCCATGTCACTTTTCCATTTACTGCCCTTTGGGGTGAGCTCTTCAAAATCCTCTTAAAAGAAGACTTGTTATGTGTCTCCTCGCGGATGCCTAATATGAAGCCTGAATGGTGCATTGTGGTAAAAAACTAAGAGTTGGGTTCATCGCAATTCAGACCAGGGCGCGAAGAATGATACCGGCCATAATGAGTTGAATGTCACAAAAGCAATTAACATGTCCCAGTATTAGAGTTCACTGTGGGGTGATGACAACTGAATCATTATCAAAGTCATCATACCCCTGTAGGCGTGAGGGACGCATTAAAATCAAATGAAAGAATCGCATCGGGTGCGGCGCCGCGGCACGAACGACGAGATGCTCCATGAACAGTTGAATTCTGGCAATTAGCTTTTGGCTCTGTGGTTCTTAAATGCCACAAGACAAAGTTGAGTGGCGTGAATTCATTTCACGAAAAGGTCATGAGGTGCCAAATATATGTTGATTTGAATGGAATTACCATTTAAATCACAAAACACATTTAGGCGTGCCGATTCCCCCCCATTCCCTGCGCACTGGAGCCTGCCGTAAATTGTTAGACAGGAACAATAAGCTTCTCTGGAGCAGAAAAGTCATTAAACCTCGCTGTAGCTCAAATGGAGACTCTTCTAAAACGTTTTTAGAGGCATCATGGTGCAGAGAAATGCCAGGCCTATCATCGCTCTGCATGTTCTTCAGAATTTTTCACCTCTGAAAGGGCACATCTTTTACTTTAGCGATGACACTTGAGTGCTTTAACAAACCATTATATATTTAAAGATGACTGACGCTGTCGTTTCACGTGTAAAAGTAGCTTGACCTTTCCGTTCTGGTAAAACTGGGTTCTTGTCCTGTCCTGACCAATGTAGGGAATTTTTATTTAATTTATACCCAATTATGAGTAGTTTCAGCCTTGACTCAGGAAAAAAAAGACAATTTTGAAGTGCAGTCCATTTACAATAATCACTGTCGTTTAATCACACCTTACTTTTTAATCAGCAATATACATGCAAAAGTCATTTATCTAAATCCAGTGTTTGTTAATAATGCAAGAAATTATCTTGAATGTTGCCTTGAGTTAAATATTTGCTACATTCATATATATAGGCTGCTAGCTTCTTACGGAAGACATACTGAGGCACTTGCTTCATGTTTTTGCTGTTCAAAATAGGGTTCATACCATTTGATAAAGCAAGATCGCAGAGCTGTTGAACACCCGATCTAAGGCTACGTTTACATGACAACGATGTAGTCAAAAACGGAAAAGTTTTTCCCTTGCGTTTTTAAAAAGTTTCACGTATACAACGTTTTCATTTACACATATCCGCGAAAACGGCCAAAAATGCTGTATTACGTATGCCAGGCCAGTAGTTGGCGCTGTCACCTTGTTAGTAACCAGTACCTGTTGCTGTGTGTATGATGCGTCTCCGCTGTTGGTTGTAATATTGGTGAAGTAAATCCACACTTTGCTGAAGAAGCGTTAGCAAACTCTTGAGCAGCAACAACAGTACCATGTACTCCGCCATTGTTGTATATGTTTGTTCGCACTTGCCTTTAAAATCGACTGTATTGGGTGTTTACACGGACACGATAACGGTGGCGTTTTCAAAAACTTGCACTTTGAAACCCGTTTTCAAAAATATGCGTTTTCAGTCCCCAAAACGCCGTTGTCGTGTAAACAAACAGGCAAAACGCAAAAAAAGTTTCCTGTTTTTGGCTGAAAACGTTGTGTAAACGGTCCCTAAGAGGAACTATACAGCAGTTTGTAGTCTACAGCAGTCTCAGAGTGCGAGTTAAAATACTGCCTGACCTTCATATAATTTAGCCCTCATTCTAGATCCATCCCATAACATCTGACACATGGATTTACGGCGAGTTGATGTTTTAGTTGATACTCCATTGGAAATCGATGTAACGGCAAACAGACTTACCAAACCCACTGATTCCCACAAGTGCTTGATAATTATGGTAATTACATAGCGTTCACATGAAGCAATATGGTGCCTTCAGAGGAGAGCGACTGCATCCCATGACCCTTTCAGCAGCGATATACGGTCTGTTTTTACCCAGAGAGACGCCGTCCCTGCCGATGGGGGCGAGAAGGGGGGGTCTGGAGTTAATGCCGGCGTAGCTAGCATGTACCCGTGGCTCTATCTCATGTGGAAATCATACAAAACATCCTGCAGCCCGCAGCCTCATTTTATGGGCTCATCCATTACCG